GGGGCCATCCGTACCGCTTTTTGTTGATGAGGAGGTAGGGAAAATACACCTTCTCAAACTCCAGGTTAATGGGCCGAACAAAGGTCTCCGTCACAACTTGCGCAGCTTCCTCAGCAAGTTTCATGGTCTACAGGCACGCCGCGAGCACCAAACGTCAGCAATCACTGCAATCATGCTTCAAACAAGCGACCCTTTTTCGCACCTCCTCGAGCGTGGTGGTGCCAAACTTGATCATGACGGAATCCGTGTCACCATAAACGACTTCAGCATCATGGCTGTAACCATTTGCAATGGAGTAGCTATCGTGTTTCAACATAGCGGTGAAGATGTGGGCCAGAGAGGCGCATGATTTTTCATCAATAAGATTCAGAAAAAAAGGCAAAGCGAAACGTACTGTTCCTCGACCTTTTGTCTTGTTTGCTCAATCATTTGCCGTCCAAAGGCCGTCACAGAGGAGGAAATCTCCAAGCAGGGCAACTTGCCCACTGTTGCGCCCGTGAAGCCATACACGGAGTTGGCAGAAATCTAGCATGCAAAGCGTTTTGGGGACGCAATTCGAAGGAAAAAAAGCGGCGCGAAGTGACACATGAAATGCTGTCCTCGAGATGGGGATTAAAGCTTATCCTCGGGTCTGTATCTCTCTGAAAAATGCCAAACTGTCAGAGAGTGAAAATGGGCAGAAAATTGTGTACCTTGAGCGCAAGCTGTCGGCCGTTGAGAACTGAGCGGCGGAAAGGGTCTTTTTCATTTTTCAAATCCTTTTTAGCGCGCTTGCGGGCATCCAACAGCGAGGTCAAAATTTGTGGCAGCAAGCCCTGGCGAACATTGGTCTGCGTCAAACAAAGCAGAATGTGGGTTTGAGGAAGGTGATATTCAAAGCCAACCCTTAATAGAGAGGGGGGGAGCGTGTGAAAATTGTAAAACTGTGCTTGGCACTTCTGTAACTCCTGGCAAGGCACGGACCTTGACGAAATGGTCCCCGGTTGGAGTGCGAATGTACTCATCCGGCTTGAGATTGCCCAGCACACTCTTGTCCTTGACCAAAGTAGTGTAGCAAAGGTTGTGAGCCTGCATAATGGAGGGGTACAGCGAGCTGAAATCCAAAGTAGCGATGGGAATGTCATAGTAGCCTATGGGCCGAGCATTGAAACGAATGTCCAGACCGCCACCACATGTATTGAGATCATGACCCAGCCCAGCACCAAGAAAGCACGATAGAATATCACCTCGCTTGGGCTCGATGACGGTTGCGCCTTCATACTGCTCCTCTGAAGCCTGACTGTCCATGACTGGAATGATGAGGTCGTGCTCGCCAGCATGGCGCATCAGCTGTGAAACGACCTGATGTCTCAAAGAAGTCAAAGCAACAACGTGAGCATGCCGTCAGGAGGATCGACCACCAAGCATGGCCAATCACAATCAGGAATGTTGTTGGGAACGAAGAGGGCCGACCTTGATTTGCTGGCCACGCGAGAGGAGATAGCTGAACGGAACGCCGGTGACACGCGCCATCTCAATGTAGTTGACAATGCACATGAGCTTGTCCAGGAGGCTGAGTGTATCCAAGAAAGTAAAACCAATCGAAAAATGGTGAAGGCACATTTGGGCAGGCAGAGTGCGCGCGCTCTGGTTTAGATCCAAGCGTTTTGTCATGTTGCGAGGGAGTTGCACAAAAAAACAGACCGCAGGGGAAGATAAGCATCCTTCATGCAGTATACAGCCAATCGACGACGGGACTGATCATTGCCAAGCTGCAAGTCTGGGTCGATGCAGGCGTGGCCGCAGTGTTATCGCAAAGGAGAGGCAAATACGCACGGCGTGTCAACGACCCGTTTTGCGCTGTGCAGCTTAGTATTGGTCCTGTCCGAACTCACCTGTAATGATGCTGTGATGTACGTCCTCCTTTTGTTCGCCGAGAAAGTTGGCACTGACCGAGTTGAGTGAGTAGGAGCGCAGCTTGTAGTCGCGCTGCAGCACCTGTGAACCATCACGCAGTAATGATGAAAAAAGTTTGCGCTAATGCAGCGTCGCTGGACAAATAGCTGTTCCCTCGCGCCCTTTTAGGGGTTAGCTTCGACATGTTTCTGAGAGTTCTTGCGCCAAAAAATATCACGACCACACCACATGACGGTGTGAGTGTACCTGCAAAACATCAAAAGTGACGCGGCCTTCCATGCTAAGCGCCTTGGATTCGCGCGTGCCGTAAGCCTTGGAGCTGAACTTGACGTCTGTCAGGCGGCTTTGCACGTTTCTATGAAGCAACAATGTGCAGATGTCAAATGATGATTGGCTGATAACACAGGCCAGCTCACAGGTCACAGAAGAAAATGTTGACTTTTAAAAATGCGCCAAATCAGATGAGAAAAGACCGTACTTCAGGCGGCCCAAAAAGGGAAATTTTGTGGCGCCAAGCTTGTTGGCACGGTTGTATAGGTAAGGCAGATCGAAGTTGGGAATGTTATAGCCTGGAGCGAGGGCACCGCGTGCATGCATGCGATCAGCTGGTGCCAAGGCTTAACTCAAAGTCAGGCAAGGAGTCAAATTGAACGGATGACCAACCTGTGATGACGTCGGGGTCTGCTTCGCGAACAAACTCCGACCACGCTTCAAGCATTTGCTTTTCGAGTTCATTGCGCTTAGAGCCGGGCTTGAGGCTCACCTTGGACGTGGGGTCAGCAAACTCTCGAACCTGTCGAATGCAAGAGACAACACCAACAGGCGGAATGTCAGAGAGAGGAAAAAAAAAAAACCCACGACGGAGCAACAAGAAGAGCTCGGAAAAAAAAAAGACTATATGACAAGAAGGGGAAAATGGTCAAAGACATACATCGCAGCCCACAATGGCGGCACATGAGTCAAGGGTGAAAACGTTGCGGATGATTGGTTTGCTCTGGCCTTGAATCTGCACCATATTGGCAATTTGGATGACCGAGTCCTCGTTGGGATCCGGGAAGACGCCCTTGCGCCCTTGGCACTCGATATCAAAGCTGAGGATCCGCAATGGGGCAATCTATTCCCGACGAGGAGGTGAGCAAAGAGGGAGGGAGACAGAAAAAAAGGTTGGAGATGGAAAGGGTGAGCATGATGATGTAAACATAAAGAAAGAAAACGACTGGTGGGAGAGCAAACAACCGACCTCTTGCCAGCGATCTTCGGGTGCATGCGACACCAGGTTGTTGTAAGCAATGTCACATTCATACTACATTCGAAAGCAGCAAAGGGGTGGGTAGGTGAGGTCCTGTATGTTGCCAATTGTCATGGGTCCAGATGCACGGGTGCCAAGTGATCAAGGAAGGCAAGCATGGCCACTGTGCAATCTGACCTGGCAGTAAGAGACCTTGTCTTCTTCATTCCGCATTTGGTACTTGGCAGCGGGCAATTCGATCCAGTTGCAGCCGACCTGGGCAAGCGGGATGATGAGGTCATAAAGGCGTGCATATCTGATTATAGAAAAGTTCTCGCTATTAGTTCTCGCTATTAGGTGTAGATATCATACCACTTGAGTGTCGACCATGAATCGAAGGTTGAATTCCAGATTGCCCTCGTAGACTTGCAGAGCCTGTAAACGCGACGGGGTGAGCAATGCGCGTAGGGAAGGCACGTGCAAAGTGGCCACTGTTGGCACACTCTTGGCAAGGACAGGAGAAAAGCATACGCAAGGGCCGATGGAGATTGAGAGCGATCCGCCCTCAAGGATGCGGCGTGTAGTACTGATAAACTTGTGCTGAATGACTGCAAACAGCACATTGGTCCCAACCGAGAGACACGCGTTGCAATGAGGCTTTGGAGGCCAGCGCGGCACTTGGGAAAAGAAAGGGCAGTGCACAGAGAGCTCAAGGCGACCTGAGAGGCAGAGCCCATACATACGTGTGATTTTGAGAAAATTGATTTTGCCCGTGCCCTTGTAGCCATAGATGCTCTCCTTCTCGACAATTTCCACGGCCAGCACCACTTCGGAAAAGTTTTTGGCAGCAGCCGTTTGATTTTTGATCAAGACATCAAGCTTGGTCTTGAATTCACGGAGCTACGAGATGAAGCAACAGGTGTAAGTTGTTGTCAGGTGAGTCCTACCCTTGAGGCAAGAACTGAACCTACATGGCTCTCTGTCAAGTTGTTGGGCATGGTGCAGTAGAGGTAGGGTGCAAAGCCATGAACGTGGAGCCTGCAAGGCAGCCACAAGCATGTCAAGCAGATACACAAGGATAGAAAGCTCAAGTGAGGCAGAGGAAGAAAAAGTCGAGGGTGTCAATAGAGGGTGTCCATAGAGGGTGTCAATAGAGGGAAGGGAGCGTACATGACGCTGTTGCCCTTGGCCGTGACGCCAAACATGCGAACAATCTGCACAGTGTCAGTCTGTGGGCCTGAAAGAGAGGTCAAGGAGGAGTTCGTGCAACAGAATGAGGTGTTCACGGAGCAAGTTGATGCCTTTTCAGCAACGATACACGGGTGCAGTGTGCTTCTATACCAGGCATGTTTGATACTGGAGAGCCGAGGTAGCTATCTAACTCTAGCTGTTGGAAAATGAGTGCCTCGGATCTGTGATGCATGGCCGAACAAGGAATGAGCAGAGTCTAGCCTGGTTGGCGGTAGAGATGACAGTGGTACGCCAGATGGGGTTAGAAAGCGAGACCTTACGCGGGGTTGATCAAGGGCGCCTCGGGACGGGTCCACTTGGCACGCGTGGCTAGAGCAGGTTCGTTTTCAATCTGGTCTGCCCCCACATCCATGGCACTGAGCTCGGAGGTAAACGTGGACTCGTGAACAGCATCAGCCGGATTGACTTTGGGCCGCTTTTGCGGCATGGCTACCAAGACCAAAGGGTCGATGAAGCAGCAGCGGTGTAAGGGGACACACGATCAAGCCAAAAGTTCAGCTGGATTCAGTTTCAGCTTGATCCAACCCAGACAAGTACGTACCGCCAGAAATGGTTGACGCCGAAGCCATCTTGCACGGTGTTCAGCGTCAGAGGTTGCTCCACTCACCCGCCTATCAACCCGAAAGAGCAACAGATCTGGAATGAGTTGACAGGAGAAGGGCAGAGCGAGAAAAGAACACGAGAAGAAAAATCAAGACAACGCCAGGCTGATGTTCCCCTTTTCCCATATCTTGTGCTTTGACTGATCTCGCACTGCCATGAACCGTATTCTCCTTGCCGCCGCCACCTCGCCGCCACTGGCCAGCCAGCACACACACGCGCGCCGGCGCACACACACACTTACGAGAGAGAGAGAGAGAGAGGAAATGGCGCCGAATACCGTTTGTAACGGTCTGTAATTGTACAACACGAGAGTGCAACGTGAGGTGGTTTTTCGCGGAAATAAGTAAAATAGTTAGGTTTTTCAAAGCTTGGCGGTGGTTGCTGCTTCACTTTGCAGTTCCAAATACTTTTGAGCACCAAGATTGACAAGTAAAATAGTAATTGGTGTCAAGGTGATCGTGGTACAAACGCAAGCAAAAGGGCTTGAAATACTTATTTTCTTCACTTTTGGCTTCAACATTGCCATCATGTCGACGACGACGACGACGTTGCTGATCGCGGTCGCGCTCCTGGCGCTGAACCTCGCGCCGGTGCAGGTGCGCTAACTACGTTCCTGAGCAGACGGGAAGGCGGGGGTGGGGGTGGGGTATTGAAGGGTGAGGATGGGGCGCTTAGCACCAGATGGGCTTTGCAGAGGGTGCAGGCTGCGGCCGAGGGATGTGTGTTTGTGTCTGTTTGCTTTGGCCGGCCACTGACTGGAACGTGACTTGGCTCAGGCTGTCGAGTACGAGACCATCCACACGGAGAACTTTCAGTGGAAGGTTGCTGATGACAATGACGTTTGGATCATTGAGGTACGTTTGGGCCAGGTCATGACTGCCTGCGGCCCTTGTGCTGGTAACGCGCTTTGATCTGCGGGCTCATTCGCGCGAGGACGCTGTTGCAGGTGGCCAGCCGCTTGTGTGCGAGTTGCAAAGAGATGAAGCCCGAATTTGCCAAGGTGGCCAAGGATGAAAAGGCCTTCAAGTTTGGCGTCATGTACATGGAGGATCGCGGGACGGCACAGCTGGCGGCCAAGTTTGAGGGAGTGCTGGACGCTGGTCTGCCGTCTGTGATTATGTTGCATGACAAGGCTGACCCTTACAGCTTTGTGAGCTTGGTGGAGGGCGATGCCGTCAAGGCGGCCCGTCTCAAGACGCTTATTCACAAGGCCGCCAAGGATGCCAAGCTGACCAAGGCCCCAGACGGCCATTTTGTCAAGATTGGCGGTGAGAAACGTGGCGAGCTCTAAGGCCCTTGATTGACGAACGTATGGCCCTTGATTGACGGACGTATGGCCCTTGATTGACGTATGGCCGTGCCTGCGGTCTGCCCCATCCTATAAGCACCCTAACTTGATTCGGCGGATGCACTCGAGTCGTCTCTCCAACATCAGTCAAACCGTCAAACAGAATTGGAATCTGATCAATTGAGGTGCTCACGCGTGGGGAGCCTTGAAGAACCGAACAAGCGTGTAGAGCTAACAGGGGCGACCACGGGGTCGGGACACCATTGGCCGCGGTTACAGCGAAAACAGATACCACAGCCGAGACAAAGAACAAAACGGGATGGAAAACGCGCAGCGCGCCATCGGAAAACCACTTGACAAGAGCCTGGGCAAAAGGCCAGAAAAAAAAAAAAAAAGGCTTGATGGGTAGGCCCTCCCTGGGGTCAAGCTCAAAGAGTCTCAAGAGCGCTCGTTGCTCATGAGCGCAGCAAAGCCCGGACACCAACAATGCCGGCGGCCGCCGCCGCTGCGAGCGCACCTGCCATCATCATGCCCGAATATGTCTCTGTGATGGGGTGCACAAGTGGCCAGGGTGGCGTGAGGTGCGGCAATTGGTTGCAGCCCCAAACTGATCAGCAACCACTGCAATAACGCGCAAACAAGGCAGTGCACGCGCATCAACGCACCTCGAGATTCCTTCTGTTTGATCTCTGATAGCAGGGTTTTGGCCTGAGAATTTCTGGGCTCCAGCTCTAGGACCTGCTCGGCAAACTGGCGGGCCAAGGTGTACTGACCCAGGGCAAGATAGCCCTGGGCTAAATAAAACAGGTAGTCGCGCTCGGGTCCATCCGTTTGGACCAGATCATGAAAGAGAGCAATGCCTTGTTGCACAATGTGCGTGCGAGGGCTTCCACAGTAGAGCGCAGCCAGCTCAAACTTGGTTTGGGACGTGACGGCACCCAATCGCGCTTTCTCGTCCCGAGCCTTGAGTTCCAACCGCTATTCCCCACACACGTCAGTCCCATCCCCAAAACGATGGCAGCAAGCCCCCGTGTCAGACGCGTGCGACGAGAGAAGAGCGATGCTGGCGACGTGACCGAGACACTTACGTTGATCAGGCTTTCCGACATGTTTGCTCGTAACGCGTTGACAGTCGCCGCTGCTGTTGCTGAAGGGCGCACGCGATGAAATTGACCGTGACTGGACCGTCTCGAGTGATACCAAGCAACTGCAACGACCAGTGCAAGCTGAGGAGCTAGGCGGGGAAGCGGGAGTGAGAGGGAGCCGGAGAGCGAGGTGGAGCTGAGGAGGAGCTGAGGAGCTGGAGGGCACAAGAATTGGAAAACTGACGTGGTGCCTGCCAGCAGCAGCCGAGGTGAAAGAGATTGAGGAAAGGTTTGATCCAAAGACAGAGGTAGAGAGGTGAGGGAGAACAATCTTCAGAGACTAAATGCAATGGAATAATTCTCGAACAGAGAAAACAAATGCAAATTGAGAGAAAAGCGATCAGATAGAATTGTCCCGAGAGAAGCCTAAAAAGCCATTGCAGAAATCAGAGAGAGACGAGAAAAGGAGAGAGCTCCAGCCTTCAGATTTTTCGGGATTTTTCTGACAAATCCCGTTGAACAGCTGCTTTGTACATGGTTTTGCAACAGCAGTTTTGCTCAGCGCCTGAGAGAGAGAGAGAGAGAGAGAGAGAGAGAGCGAGAACACACACATGGCCATGGCGGCGGTACGAATGGCAGCGGGGGCGGTGATGGCGTCTGCAGGGTCCGTGGGCGTAAGACAGACGGCCGTTGGTGGTGTGCGATTGGCACCGGTGGTGCTGGCTCGGCTTCCGCAGCTGCAGCAGCGCCAGCAGCTGCATCAGAATGGGCCCGCTCGCTCCATTTTTGATAAGCTCTTTGGCAGCAAAGAACAGCCCGCAACTTCACCAACTCCTGCTGCTGCCAAGGGCCAGCCTGCCCGGCCAGATCTTGACACTGATGCCTTGGCCCGTGCTTCTCAGGCCGTATCAGACGCTGCGTACGTTGGTCGGGTTGGCTCACTTGTAGCACCCTGTGCCTTCTCTGCCTCTGCTTCGTTCTCACTTTTTCCAACCTTCTTCTTCCTCGCTTCCTTTGCCTTTGCCCTCGGGATAGCGTCGTGGAGGAGCCAGAGCGCCTTCCCGTCCAGCCAGAGGAAGTCGAACCCATTGTGTTGGCCCTCGTTGCCGAGTACTTTCCCGGTCAAGATAGCTCAGACCTTACCCAACTCACCTTTACCGACCTCCAACACAAGTTTGAGGTTCGAGCCTGCGGCATCTTGTGATCGTTTGAAATCACCCCCGTCCCGCTTTGCGTTGAACGTGGCCCGTGCAGACCACGATGCCCTCCTTGTTCCGCCTGAGTTCAGATCAACGCAGATCAGTCCCTTTGCTGTCACAGCAAGACACCACTCATTTTCCCGCTGGCACATTTGCTGTTGCATGCGTACTGACAGGTGCTGAGCGAACTCGAGCAGCGCGTGAACATTCCCATCCGAGACCAAGAATTGGGTTTCCTCAACAACATGCAGGTGTGTTCTTTAGCTTGGTGTCATTTTAGCTTGGTGTTATGACTAACAAGCTGCCTGTGCAATGGGCATGGTGCCTCACCTGTTCTCACTGCATCACCTCGGCACAGGCGGTCAACGACTACTTTAGCTTGCCTCATAGCATTTTGTTTCCGCCGGACGAGCGTGAGCTCTTCCCGGAGCTTGACATGTCCACGCTGCCAGCAAATCTGACCGTTGATTTACCCCGGCCTCGCGCACAGGCCTTCCATAGCCCCTTCAAAGCGGCTTTGTAAAGCACGTTGCGTACACTGTCATCTCAGCTCTGCCTTGAATCCCCGCCCGCCTATTGTTTCCCTCTTATGGTGATCATGGTTGGGTCGTCCCATGCTTGGTCCTGTCGTTTGCCATCGAGTGGCAACGCCAGCGTTGCAGTGCATCTCATCTCATTCACATATCAAAACGAATTCTTGCTTCTGCCTTTCTGGGTCACCAATTCAATGACTGCCACCCCAGCTTTTGCCATCTCTTTTCTTCAGCGCCCACACGCGTACACACACAAGTACAGGTGCAAACACAAACATAAATCCGGATTTTTGTTGTCAAAATCGGGTGCCCAACAGTGCTGCACAAACAGGGCTGGATATCAAAGCACTATTGTGATACTACATTTCCAGAATGTCGCGAGGCACACGACTCAGCTTGCCCTCCTTCTCAATGGCCACCATGCCTTCAGGCACGCCTGGTGTATCAGGGTGCAAAATAACCATCTAGAGCATGTCACATCGCAGGGTCGTCTGTGAGCTGGGTAGCTTCATATTGGCAAACCCGATGAGCAGCGATCAGCACCTGCACCTACGTCATCTGGGTGCAGACTGAGATTGACGGCATCCGAGGTTTGGTAGTTGCACAGGACCCGCGCCGTGACCAAGCCCTCACTCTGGGCGCGGGGGCGCCTACAAGTGGTCGTGGCAAAAAGGGGCGTGTGAAGTCTTGAAGTCAAGTTGAAGCTTTTCAATCATGCCACGCAATCGTGCGGGTCCACCAACCCGTCACTCAAGGCCGGTGAGGCAGCGCTCACGGGGGCTGGTGAGCCAGACGATGGTGGCTCAAGGCCGGCCGTGCTGCAGGCGCAGACATACAAATGAATTTGCCAACGTGGTGCCTTGAATATGAGCGGGGTGGCGCTGCACATACCGACGGATCGTGCGCGAGAGCTCCAACGTGGCTTGAGCGGCTGCAGCAAAATACTCGTGTTGGGCATCCACAAGTGCTACCAGGCGGTGCACGTGCTCATCCTGAGTGTGTGGTAAGGTGTGCGTTTGGTCATGGCAAAATGGGCATGAACTTTAGCAAGACCCAGACGTTCACGGCATTCGCCTTCCCAGCATAAGCAAGG